ATTCATTTACGTCAAAACGGCCTTCGGCCCACTCATTTATCACAAAACAACCTTAGGTCCATTTATTTCTATCAAAACGACCTCCGGTCCATTCGTTCACGTCAAAACAGCCTTCGGCCCATACATTCGTGTCGAAACGGCCTTCGGCCCACTCATTTATATCAAAACGACCTTAGGTCCATTTATTTCTATCAAAACGACCTTCGGTCCATTTATTCATATCGAAACGACCTTCGGTCCATTCATTCGTTCATGTCAGACTTTTGTCCACAATCCCAATTGGCAAGTCATAAAACTTATAAGGGAATAAACAGTTGGACGTTGCTAAGCTTTCAAATATTGATATTACTCACAGTGATCGGCTTGTGGATTTGCCCCGGAACTTGACCCTACATATTTCATGAACACAAAAGGGTCATTAACGGTTCAATCCGTTCTTTGATTCACATATTCCTCTTTAAGCTTTATTCTTATCTCATTAACTCATTTACAATGCTTAACATATGCCTAAGAGTGCTTACAAGTGAAAGAGAACGGAAAACAAAACCCAGAACGAGCATACAAAATTTCAGAGAACCGGGTCCCCGCTTGAGCGTCAACTTACCCGCTCGAGCGGACCCTTAAGGCCTGCAAAAGTACTGGTTGCATGAAAAATACGCTCGAGCGTGGAATAGAGAGCTCGAGCGGAAGACCTGTCTACAAAACTCCCTGCTCGAGCGTGAGATATATCGCTCGAGTGGAAATCCAATTCTGCAAAAAGTGCTGGGAGCACGATTTTCCCGCTCGAGGGCAATCACCCCGCTTGAGCGGACATAAAAAATCTGGGTTTTCCAGATTGAGTTCTTGAGCTCCCTTCAACATTCAAACCATCATTTCATGCTTTTAATGGCTCCAATTTCACATATACTTGTACTAACATGGCGTAAACACCAAAACACATCTTCATGGAGCTCAATTTCAAGGATTTAACACATGCATGGCTCAAATTGACACCAAACTCAATTCTAGCATACACCTTCATGCATTCAAAGCTCTTATCTTCATAGGTTGTACATGCATGTGATGTCTAGCTCCCATTCTCAACTTAGATGATACCAATGGTGATTATACATGAGCTTCAACTACAAATTTACATGGACCATACCCCTTTGTGCTCAAACATGCAACATTCAAAGCAATTACACACACATTGTGTTCAAATATAGAAATTCATAACAATTTCCTACATGCATGTGTTCTAAGACTTCAAATTTAACAAAACCAACTCAATTCATGTTCTTTAACATTTTTCAACTTTGAACTTACAAATTACAAACAAGATTCCATGAATTCACTTACCTAAGAGCTTCAACACTCAAGCTCTAGCCAAATCTTGAGCTAGATCTTCAAGAGATTCAAGTCTTGAACCAAAATTGTACAACTCTCCCTTTTTTCCTTCTATAGCCGACCCTCCCCTCTCTTGTCTTAGAGTTGAAATCAGCCCAAATGAATATAAAAAGGGAATTGAGTGTAGAATGCCCATTTAAAATAAGTCCCACTAGCCAAAAATATAAATATCAAATAATTGGGCACTAAACCACTAATTAAATCAATTTAATCTGACTCGAATCAATTTTCAATTAAATTCCACTGTAGGCTCTAAAAATTATGCCAATCACAATGGCGTAGTCAATTTTGGGTTCTGTGCCCGATAGGGCCCTCAATTTAATTCCCAAAGCAGATTATTCAACAGATATTCCTACGGTGAACATATAGAACTTCAAAACCACATATTTTCACATAATGGAACACAAAATCATATCAAAACACATAATCACATCATATTAAGGACCAATTAACATATTACGGAATAGGGGTATTACAATTGGAGATGGGGCTTGATAAAAAACAGGTGTGTCAATCTGTCCCCTTTCAGTTGATAGGCCAACTCCTTCATCAGCATTGTCTTCTTTAGGGTCCAAACCATCATCCGCTGGGACGTGGATGTCATTTGCAATCATTTCTTGTACAGCATATGTGGTTGTTGCACACAATTCATTGGTAGACCGTGGTTGAATATCTTCTACACCATCAGAGTTAATGCCGATTGGTAGAATTTATGTAGGTTCGAAATGATCACCATGGGATTCATGACCAAATGATGCAAAGTAAGTAGGTTCGAAGTGATGGTCATGTGTATTGATTGGGGAATACACATCCATGGGAGTCTATTCACTTGTACCTACTTGCACATCAACATTAACATTATTATAAGGAAAAACATTGATGGTATAACACTCCAAAATATTTAATTAATTTTAACACCGTGAATAAAAAAGAAATTGTTGCGACGTCGAATCTCTAGGTACCAGATTTGGGTCGTGACATTGACAAGAATCTTGCATGTTATCAATGAAGTCACATGTTGAGAATCTGATTTTAGTGTTGCATAATTTTATTTTATTTTTTTTTTCATTTGCACGATTTGACATTAACAAGAAACTTGCATATTACCAATGAAATCGCATGTTGAAAATGCAACTTCACTTGAAATTGCATGTTGAAATTGCAATTTCAAATGAAGTTGCATTTTGAACTTGTCACTCAAAATTATCACTCCTACAACATAAAAATAATAAAAAGGAAAAAGTACAATACAATGGGACAGAAAAAAAATTATAAAAACATAATGACCATAAAAAGAAAAATTATTGCAAATACCGTACTTCAAATCATTGTAGTAGTCACGTGACCATGGTAGGTGAAATAGCATGTTGAGAGTGATTTCAAGAGAAATTGCATTTTGAACGTGCGATTTCAAGAGAAGTTGCATTTTGAACATGCGATTTCAAGTGAGTGCAACTGCAAACACCATACTTCAAATAGAACTTGAAATTCAAGGGACTGGTGAAATCACATGTTAAGATTGCAATTTCAAGAGATGTCGAAATAGCAATGTAGCAGCCTCAAGTAGTGGGTCACATAACTAATGATTATCCAAATCGATTATACCATGTGCTGTATTTCAATATTGAATGTAATGTTATCAATCTTAAGTTATGTTGTATGTCATATCATATTTCCTAATATAAAAAATTATTATAACATTTACATTTTTATGAGCAAAATGAAGTAAATGATAAACATTACAATTGACATAGTTGTAGTTTTATATAGATAGTTGATTCAGAGAGTTGTCAATTGACATAGTTGTCACCAACGATGTGAAATTTCAAAACAAATACATTAAACCTCACATTTTCCATGTAATGACGCTAATCTCCCTTTTAGTAAAGTTAAATAGATCGAAACTAATGCAAATATTGTGTAAGTACAAAATAAATACCGTAAAATATACAATTTTGTTTAAAAAGGATGATAATATTATTTTTTCATCCATATAACTAAAAAAATTATTGATGAAAATTAAGTATTATTCAATTAAAAAAACAAAAGGATGAAAACTAACTGGTGGTGATACAACACATTTTTGAATTCTTGCATCCAGACCTTGATCCCTGTTCTTTGGTTAGATGTGTTATTTTTCAAGCCAAACTGCTCTTTAATGGTTCTAGTGTAGTCCCAAAGATGACAAATCAGCTTATTACCATTCATTGGTTTCATTTACAGTCTTAAAACAGTGTGGAAATTGTCTTTTTAATGTTTCATATTGTTCTCTAGTGTTTGATTGCTAGATGGTGGGGAGACCCATATTTTTCCTTACAGGGCTCACATTTCTTAATGAGTTGGGAGCAACTAATAAACCTTTGAATTTCAATTTTAAATGTTATTTTTAGAATGGACTTTGTAATTGTGAAATTTGAAATTGCATTTTCAAAATGAGAGTTTATATTGAAATTGCATGTTAAAAATGCAATTTCAACTTGGCACATGAGCGAGTCATTATCCACGAGGACTTGAAATGTAGACTTGAAATCTGTCTATGTAGACTTGAAATCACATTTTGAACATGCAACTTGAAGTTCAAATTGCATGTTGAAAATGCGATTTCAATTTGAAAGTGCATGTTCAAAATGCGCTTTCAAAAGTGGGTTAGTTTCTCAAATAATTTAAAAAGTGAGTCAATTCTCTAAATTTTTTTTTTAAGAATATTAAAAATAAATAAAAAAATCAGGAAACATATGGTATAAGTAATTACCAAGTTTATATTTTCCTTTGCTTTTGTTAGGAAACTTATGGTACGTGATAGTTTGTTCAACTAAAAGTAGAGGCTTAAAAAATTACATGAATCTACAAATAAGAAAATGATAAAGAAATAAAAGGATATCATTGGATGAACACACAGCCATGCGGTCTTCTTGACCCATATGATAATTTCTTCTGCGGTACACATCTTGCACCCTTGATACGTGTTGGACCATTTTAATATCTTTTATATATTTATTTTGTTTATGAATCTTCATTTTGTCTTGTTCATGAATCTCATCTTGTTCATGAATGGAGATTCATTGTTTTGGCGACCTTTTGTCTTGTTTATGAATGAAGATTAATCGGAGTTCATGAACTTGGTGGTGAGCTAATATTTAGAGACTCTCCTTTTTCTCTAGTTTAATGGTCATTATTATTATTATTATTTTTTGTGTGTGTGTAAATTGTAAGGTTCTAGTGGTCTATAAATAGTTCCTCTCATCTACTCTTTTCTATACTAACTATTGTTTATACTTGAGAGATTACTAGCAAAAAAATGGTGTTTTTCTTGGTGGAGCTTTGAGTTCACCATCTTATGCAGAGTTAGTCTGAACCATATGATAAGTGCTCAGGCTGTTGTATCCTAGAGGGGACAAGTCATAATTTGTGACTATTACATTGGTATTTGGATTCTTCCTATCGCAGTGGGCTTGATCTCCTTGAAGAAAACAAGATATCCGTGCCTCAGCCTGATCTATTTGTATCTCATTTTCTTTTGCATTATTTATCAATAAAATATAATTTTTTTAGTATTTTCACCTGGGAAAGGATAACATTTACTTGTATTGACATTCAGATACTGGAATTGGTATCACCACTGGGTCGGAAGGATTGCCCTTCTCTTTGGAAATGTGAATATAATAGTGGGAATTCAAATTGGTGATGCGGGTAGTGGATGGAAAGCAGGATAGGGATTTCTTCTTGGTACAGTTCTAATTGCAACTATTGTTTTAGAAATATTGTCAAGGATAAAAAGGTCGGAGCATACAGATGTTCGTCCAGCTTCAGGCAAGGGGATTCTGACCCCTTGCAACCTCACCAACTTATTGTGAAGGTTTTGTTTTTTTTTTTTGAACAAGGAAAGTGAACTTATTGTGAAGTTTGATCCACAGTTGAGTGCTAGTGTCTAGTACTCGGGATCTACACTACCCAACAATCAACTCTCATTCTCTGTGATTTCTTGATTCAGCAATGGAACTAGCACTGTCCTTGGAGAAGTTGACAAATGAGAAACTTCTGAGCTTGCATGGTGTAAGATATCCTTTACCTTCAGTATCTTTTTTTCTTACTTTGAATTCATTCTCTAAAATGGCCAAGTATTAGCAGTATTTGACAAAATATTTGGTCCATTTAACTCATTTTACGCATTATAAGGTTGAACCGTGTCTAAAAAGGAAGTTTGGGACTTGAGACTAGGACTACTCATACTTGCTCTGTTCTTGACAACAAGTGGCTGCTCAAAACAATGATCCTCAAGAATGATCTTAAGGGCAGGTTATTGTGTTACAAACAAGATTGGACTGGTGGCTTCAGAGCTGGCTTCAGGTATGTACTACAATCAAAGAAGAATGATCTTTATAAGCTTCTTTTTCTTTTTTTTTTTCTTTTTTCTGTAACCCATTTTCTTCTTTTTTGGTGAATTTTAATATAACTTGTTATGTTTTCAGGATTTTGCCTCCAGTCATTTCATTTGGGGAACAACTAGATAGAAACACTGGTATGGGAATTAACTGTAAATAATTCTCAACCTAAATGAAATTTCTTTTATATTTTGGAATGGATGTTAAATGGCTTCAGGTATGTACTACAATCATGATATGTATCAAGCCTTTATTTGCTATATGATTTTACATTAAATGCTCCACCTTTACTGATTTTGGGAGTTGCGGAGCCCACTGTACTAATGTATACATTCATGTTTAACTTTGCCAAAGAGAGACCAGATTTGGGTCACAAACTGTTTCTTCCATGGACTGGATGGTGAGCTATTAATCTTCTAGTCTTCCTAAATGATATAATACTATTGGCATGGTTTTCGTCCGTTGGCAGTTTTATTGCTTGAATTTTTTGTGCTAAGCTTATGATATATTGTCATTTGCTGTTTAATAATACTTGATTATTCGATTTTTCAGGGTGTGCGTGTGGACTGCAATGTTGCTGTTCTTACTGGCTATCTTAGGAGCTTGCTCCATTATCAACAGATTTACTCGAAACGTAATAATGATATAAGAATCTCAAAACGTAAGAATCTCTCAAAACATAGGAATAATGATATAATTTTGTTTTGAACATTGGATAAGGATACAATTGAGAATGCAAAAAATGCTATATATGTTTATACAAAATACAATTCAGTTTGGTCTCAAGATTTTTATACCCTCCAGTGGATCTGTTGTCTAACTGGGTCTAACCTAACAATTTGGTCAGATATGAATTTGGACTAAGATGTATGTATGGTTATACAAAATAGCAAATGCCTATTTTTTGCCACATCTAATCTAGAGTGTTGTCTTGGTAGCTACTCTTCCAGGTGCAAAGATGTTGCCGCAGTAGATATCAATATGGGTTGCCCAAAATCATTCTCTATTAGTGGCGGAATGGGCGCTGCATTATTGACTAAGCTGGCGCTTATTCATGATGTATGTGGTACATGGCATTCATGGAGTTCTATTTTTCTTTTTCCTTCTCTGTTCATCGTTTGAACTAAAAGCTTTAACCCTCATGTTGTTTCTCTGTTTTTCATTATGACATTACTGTGCTTATGGTTCTTGTTATTAGATCTCTGCAAGGAAATAGGCTGACAGGGAAAATTCCAGAGGTGATAGGTCTAATGCAAGCCCTTGCTGTTTTGTAAGTGTGCTTACTATATATTTGAATTTAACGACCCATGGAACAACTATGTTTGGGATAAAAAAAAGATGTTTCAATTACTCAATCGCTGTGGTAATTAATTCTTGAAGCGTTAGAAAGAATGTTGCATGCATGCTAGTAATTTCATTTGAATGTGGCTGTACATGCTAGGCAAATCATGATACTCTGGGACTCGTTTCACGATCTTTTTTTATTAGGTGGTTGTTTCTTGAAATAATTTTGTACTATGCAGAAAACTATGGAAAACAAATTCATTTTGACATCAATCCTACAAACACCGTGTGTGCTAGATTTTTTTGTTTTTGTTTTTGTGTTTTTATAGTCATCTTTTTTGCTTCGCTGCAACATGTTTAAAGCAGAGTTTCATTGCTTTGATAAGTGTATTATGAGTTTCCATTTTGAACTTGGTTGCCATGGGTAATTGTATGGGGTGCGTCACATGCTTGCAGCCATGTATGGAGAGAGGGAGGGGCGGGTGGTGTACCTAATTGAGATGCCTTTGTTTAAAGGGTATAGGTTTTCCATATGTTATTGCTTAGAAGAACATAGTCTGTCCTCCAAACCCCTGCTGTAATGTTCAATTTTTGTGTTACTACCTCTCTAGTTTGTAGTACTCTGATTCTATTGCTTCATGTTTTTATCCTAGTTTTTGTATGTATTGGAGTGGGTGGTGTACCTAATTTGATGAGATGCCAATATTTTATTGGGAAGTGGTTCTCCATATGTAAATGGTTAGAAGAACATAGTCTGTCCATGGTTAGGTTCCTTAGCTGACATGTAGAACCAAATTAGTTGTTGACTGCCTAACAAATTCCGATTTGAGTGACCCTCCCTTTCTGGTCTGTGGCACTTTAGTTCTATGGTTTCATGTTTTTATGCTAGTTTGTGTATTGAATTTGCTGCTGCACATTGTTAGCCATCTTTATATTGGATGCTAGGTACATGGATTGTTTTCCATCTTTATATTGGATGCTAGGAACATAGATGGGATGGCCTGGATAGCAATATCAGCTTTTTCCATGAGATCTTTTCTGAACAAGTCTAGGAAGGTAGAATCGATTAGAGAACCGGACACAATGGATATGAATGGTCAAGATTTTTAAGAACTAAGTCTTACAATTTTTGTAAAATGTGATTCATTTATGTGTGTTCTGTATTTAGTTTACGTGTTTGTAAAAATGTATTACTTCCATGTGCCTCCTGTCTCTCTTTACAACACCAGAAAGTTGAGTCATGTGTTAAGAGAGGTGGCTGAGTGGCTGGTTTGGGACTGGGAGGAAGAAGGGAGGATCTGGACAAGGTCTCTTGAAGCCTGAATTTATGTGGCTTTTTGCTATCTTGTCGGGATTTGTGCAAAAAATTCATTTAAAATGATGTGGCCCAAGTGTTTATTAGTTTCAAGTAAAAAAATGTGTTCACTCATTCCAGATGAAAAAATTCATTAAAGTGGCTTATAATTTTTAAAATATATTTTCTATTTGCAAATTATTTTTCAAAAAAATAAAACAGACCAGTCCTCTCCTACATGCCTCCTCAATTGTTTGTTTTATTACATGGATATGGGCAAGTGGATCAGCGTGCTGAATACATGATTTTTATTTCTTCATCATCATTTGTTTTCTGAAGACATTATTTTTCTCAAATCTGTCCCTCATTGGGGGTTCCTGATGATTGGGGGTGGCATTATAAGGATATAGGCTTTATTTTGTTTTTGGTTATTTCCTTGCATCAGCCAATTCAACTTACTCCTTGGTTCTTGCATATGATGGTAGGGAAGACCTATTTGAAAAAAAAGCCTTATGAATAGATGGTCGTGTCTACTTCTATTTTACTTGGGTGTTTTTAACCTATTTGTTAATATTTCATTACAGGAAGCTACAAAAAAGGCCCAAGAAGAGGCTTCTGAGCATGTGAGATGTCTAGAAGAAGATTTGGGAAAGTTGAGGTATATTTGATTTGTTTGAATTTCTTTTTTTTCTTCTTTATTTTCTACTTTCTACTGTAATCTTAGAAGCTTGCACTGTTGAAAGAGCTTGGTGATCTGTTTTGTGAATTTTAACTTGGATTGTACACCTTCTTCTTCTTAAAATGTTTTATTCTTTAATATATATCAGTATTGGTGGGTCCCCATGCTTAGCAGAAATTGGAGCCACTTTATGTTCCTGAAAATGGATCCATGGACAATTTGTCCGCTAAAGAGGGTGATTTGTTGTTTCAAATAATAAAGACTATAAATTAGCTAAAAGGCTTTGTATGTTTGCTATAACACAGGCAGCTAATACATATAAATCTCAATGAGACACCATATTGTTGTGTTATATGAAGATTATACAAGTTGAAGAAAGTAAACATGCATCCTATAGTTGCACAATGGTGCATGCATTTTATACATTTTAATTCTTTCAAAATTGTATATAGCGGACATGATATTCACAGAAATATTGTGCAAGATTAACAAATTGATCATGAAATTCAGTGTTTAGTCAAAGAGATGAGTTCATCTACATCAACAATCCTAAAAGTGTACTTCTATCTCTAGTATCTGATGTTTAGACATGTTGTTTTTATTTCCGTGCAGTACAAGTTTTTTGTTGATGGAGAATGGCGGCATGATGAGCACCAACCATTTGTAAGTGGAAATTATGGGGTGGTGAACAGTGTCTTCTTAGCTAGGGAGCCTGATGGGTAGATCTAGTATGGATGTGGATAATGATCCATTTTTTCATTTTTTGGAAGCAAATTATCTTACAAAAGCTTTTGTAATACAAGTTGGTCTAGTTGATAAGAACAAGGCTATGTGTGACTTTTGGCTGGTGTTGATTTTTGCTGCCATAGGACTGCTGATTTTTTAGTTGAGAATTGTGAATTTAATTTTTGAATATGTTATTTTGTGGGTAATGATGATTGGATTTCAAAAAAAAAAAAAAAAAAAGAGAGAGGATTTCACGGCGTTTTTAAAACGCCACCTAAACTCCAAAAAGTTAATGGTCAATTTTTTTTAAAAAGATATGACGGCGTTTTGAAAACGTCGCTAAAATCATAGTGACGTCATGATAGGGACATTTCACGGCCGCCTATTCTAAATATCACGACGTTTTTAAAATGTCGTAAAGATACAGCGACGGCCGCAGCTTCGACGTTTGGTACTAAACGTCGCAAAAGGAATTAGCGGCGTTTTTGAAAGATATAGCGGCGTTTATTAAACGCCACTAAAAGTCTGTTTTCCAGCAGTGAGTAAATAAAATAAATAAATAAATAAATAAATAAATATCTAGATATTTAGTCCCTTAGCCATTAAGCTACCTATATTATATAAATTGAGAGTTGGTCCCAATCCACACCCACGTTTTTCATCAGCTCAAGGAGAGGGTGAGAGAGGGAGAGTTTGCTCAAGGGAAGTCAAGGGGAGTAGAGAAGTGAGAAGAAAAAAATCAAGATATGATTAATGAAATTGTTTAGTGAGAATGACAAATTATAATTTTGAAGGATAATTTTTTTTTTTTTTTTACCCATCTCATCCTATTGTCTAGATGCTCCCTTGGGTTATGTATTAATGGTAAATTGAGTTTTTGGTGTGTATGCATGTGTGGGTGTGAATTGGTGACATTGTCTTACAATTTTATTCAAAATATGCACTGCTGCAATTTCTAATATTTAAAACAAATATCAAACCTGTCTATTTCTCAAATCTGAATTTATTGTAAGATAATTGGTGTGTTTAGAGCTTGTGACAATTTTATTAGCCCCTAATTGTGTGTTTTTAGGCCTTGGATAATTTGTTGAAAAATCTGGTCCTGAATCTCTGAAAAACAGTCCACTTTTAGTAATTTTATAAAATTCTAGAAAAATCATCTCGTGTTGGTTCTTTTGTCAAAATTTAGAAATCTGAGTCCTCTTTCCAACAGATTTTATTTGAGTGAAAACCATCGGGTATATTGAGAGAAACGCTAGTTTTCCCAATGGGTGACAAATCTGGACAGGTTTTTGAATATAGCTTGTGGATGAATTTCTGGAGGTGCTATGCACATTCTGTGAATTGGAATTGAAGCTGGACAGGTTAATTATTATTTCTGTGCAATTTCAGCCCCTAATTTGACCTAGAAGTATTTTTACCAAAGCGTTCTTGTTAGCCCTGCAGAACCGACCGGTGCTGGAAATTGGGTTCTACTATGTGATTTGTCTCTAAGTGTTTCAGGCCTTTTTAATGTTATTTCTTGCTTAACTATACTTCTGTACTTATGAATGATGATCATGGACTATATTTCCTCTAGTATGTTTTTCCCATACTCATTTAATTGACCAAATTACTGAATGTGACTAAATCACCTAGCAAAAGATCTAATAAACGGGAAATGATAAGGGGTTGGCAATGGGTGACGTTATCTTAGTGTTTTAGAACTAATTTTATACATATGCATGACATGAGTTATGATGGGGTTAATACCAAATGAGTTAAGTCTTGCATAAGCAGTTTAAGCAAGCACCGGGGTTGACCTGGATGTATTCAGACTCTATGCGGCGGTTTCAGGGTGTAAGCGAGCCCTATGGTATGGTATGTGTAGGGTGTAAGCGAGCCCTTTGGTATGGTATGTGCAGGGTGTAAGCGAGCCCGAGGCACGATTTGGGTGTAAGCGAGCCCGCTTGTTGGCCGTCCCTTTTGAGGTCCATCAATGCCACTGACAGGTAAATAATCGGAAGGTGGGCATAGGTGGTAAGGTCTGCAAAGCAGCAAAAGGGGGAGTTCTGAATAGTCTGGTGTTCAATCCTTGTGGTTGGGTGGAAGGATCTCTTTGGGGGGTCCTAAATGCCTAGTCTAACTACTGATTTATAAAACCTTAATGTAAGTATGTTATGTTACTTGATTTGTTTTGTGTATGATTGATTGATAGAAGATATGGGGGTGTGTGTGTTTTTACTGGGCATTCCAAGCTCATGGCGTGTCATGCCAGGTGAAGAAGCAGCTTACGACGGGGAAGGTTATCCCGAAGACAATCAAGATGAAGTTTTAGAGCCGTGGTTCACTTGAAAATTTAGACTAGTAGTTTGTTTTTGTGTTCTCTTTTCTTTTACCTTTTGGTTTGACAATATTTGTAAACCTCTAGTGGAACTCAAATCAGTTATCCATGTTATAACTCCGCTAGTATGTGTATATTAACGTATTGTGGTTATCTATTTTATTTGAGTTGTACTTTATATATTTCTCTTGCGGTCTCAAATTTTGGGGCGTGACATATATATAAATTAATATTTTTTTTGATATTTTTTGTAAAAAATATATTTTTTTAAAAAAATACTCCTCATTGATGTAATTACAGTTAGGAGTCTTTTGGGGAGTAAAAAAAAAAAAAAAAAAGCCAGTTTTTAATTTTTTACATATTTTGAGTTACATCACCTCTCATATTTTTTACTTACAAAAATATAAAATAGACTAAAAAAAGTCAAAAAAATTAGGCCATGTTTGGTTTGGCTTTGGGAAAAAGACTTTGGAGAAAATTTTTGGAAATTTTGTTTGGTTTGTAATTTTTCAAAATCACTTTCTCTCTCCTACACATCAATCAATCACTTTTTCCCTCTCCTCTTTCCTTTTTAATCCGTTCAAATCATAGCATAATTAATTTCAATTGGAAACCCTAATTATGTGGTTAGTGGTGAATTCTCTACCCTAGGATTTTTCCCCCAATTCAGTAAACTCAATTTCACTTATTATTGATAATTTAATTCCTTAGTTTAATTTATTCGTTATTAAATTAGGTTATAAACAACTAATTTTTTATCAAAATTAATTTAGAAATTTGACAATTAAATTAGTTTAATTTCACAATAGTCCCTGTGGATCAATACCTGAACTTGCCATTATTCTGATTGAATTTGGTATCGTTTAGTGATTATATTTGGTGTGTTCAACGACCCATTAAATTTTGGCGCCGTTGCTGGGGACTTCTGGCGAAATTAGTTAATTTAAAGTTACATTCTTATTTTAATTTTTGGTTTAGGATTTTATGCTTTTGGTGTTGCTAAGTGTGCAGAGCGTTTGAAATTGGAGCTATCACTGAAGTGCAAGCGGAGCGCAACCGAGCTTCGAAAATTAAAAAAAAAACCGCAGCGCTAAAGTGAGTAAACAGAAGCAAACACTCACAAGCAAAGTACCAAAGTGCTAAAACGGAAGTCAAAGCTCAAACAGAGGTTGGAGACAACGTCTACACGTCAAGCATCCACAAGACGAGTAAAGCGTTTTCGTTAAACCGCTGTGAGTATTTCTTCCTTTGGTATTTTGCTTTCATACTTAGTGCACAGAGTCGGAACTTGTTGTGTGTGTTTGGGTAGTGTATGCACGGGCGTCGTTCTTGTCGCCCTGAATTGTGGAGTTTGGACCTTGAACTAGAAAGGACCCTTAGGAGACTTAGGACCTCTGCCCATATTCCTAGGCTTGAATATTGATATTCATACATTGAGCCATTAGAGATGGCAGATCCTAATGTCCCGAATGTGCCTAACTGGACACTTAAGGATTATTTTACACCCACTGCATATACATCACCATCATGCATCCAATTACCTAACACCACTGCTGCTCATTATGAGATTAAGTCCAGCACCATACAAATGCTCCCATCATTCCATGGACTAACTCATGATGACCCTTATAAGCATTTGAATGAATTTCCGGAAATTTGCTCGACAGTGAGGATCCAGAATTTCACAAATGAGGCCTTAATGTTGCGATTGTTTCCATTCTCGTTAAAGGATAAAGCCAAACACTGGCTAAATTCTTTACCTGCTAATTCAATCACAACTTGGGACCAATTACAGCAACGGTTCTTGGAGAAGTACTTTCCCATAGGTAAAACCAACTAACTTAGGCGAGCCATCACAAACTTTGCTCAAATGGATGGCGAGCAATTCTATGAGACGTGGGAAAAACTTAGAGACCTTCTCCAACAGTGTCCTCACCACCAAGTGCCTAATTGGCAACTTGTTCAAACATTTTATTATGGCTTAACTGAGCCGCACCGCCAAATGGTGGATTCGTCCTGTGGTGGGACATTTATGTCTAAATATGATGCCGAGGCATGGCAATTGTTTGAGAACCTAAGTGATAATTCCCTTCACCATGCCTCCACAGCCCGGCAAGTCTGGCAACCGGTAGTTGGAGCCCCGAAAAGAGGGGGCATTTATAAGGTCGGGCAAAACCTAGAGTCAACCCAACAAGTAGAGGCATTGTCCCGCAAGATGGACCAATTATTAGCTACGCAACATGCCCCTACCCAGTAAGGTCAGCCTCAATTTTACGAGGCATGTGTTATTTGTGCGAGCCCTGCTCATGACTTGAGTGAGTGCCCTTCGGCATCACAATTTCCGGAGTTAATCCAAGAGCATGTGAATGCAGCTCAAGGATTCTCCAACCCGGGTAATGATCCATACTCCAACACATACAATCCGGGATGGAGAAATCACCCTAATTTCTCATGGAGACCCCCTTCACAAGGCACTTCTTACAATCCTCCACCACCAAGGCAGAATTTCAATAATTTTGCCAACCAATCATCTTATCGACCACCGCAACCTTATAGACCCCCACAACCATACTGGCAACCACAACCACAACCCCCGCCTGTTCCTCAGGGCAACTCTGCCTTTAAGACTCAGGTGTTGGAAGTTCTCTCAGAACTTAAGGGGTTAGCACCGATAGTTCACTCCCACACTCACTCTATTGCCAAGATAGAGACCCAATTGGGTCAAATGGCTAACAACATGAATCGGAGAGAGGAGGAAAAATTACCAAGT